AAACTGTAAAATTTTCCTCCTCCTTGATCAACCTACTATAAATGATTTAATTCTTCATCCTATACAAAATATTAAAATCAGTAACCAATAAAGAACTGTAAAACGTCTCCTTGACCACTCACTTTAATTTTTAACTTTCACAGACGCAAAACAGTTGACTAAGAACCATAAAACAGTTTAATTTGAAATTCAATAATTATATTAAGCTTTCAGGGTTTCTAGTTTTAGTTGAAAACATGTAAATTCGTCTCTTTCAGCTCTTCATATACAACTTAATATACCTCAAATCTCTTGCTTATTTCCTGTAGAAAAAGCAGTTAGGTTTAAACACTTGTATGCATATCGAAAAACAGAGTTTATTGTAAAATGTAGCTTACTTAAAGTTTTAGTGGTCTGTTAAACTTCCGGTAAGGAAGGACGTGGTTCACTAATGGGAAACAAAAGTGTTATATATATATATATATATATATATATATGCGTGTGTGTATATATAAGTTATTTCTACTTCTGAATGTACGAATGGCTCAGCAAGGCTCATGTGAGCAGGACTTGTGGTTAAAAAGAACACTGAATTCACGGATGCAGATGATGAAGAAGAAGCTTTGTCATCAAGCTACGGAGAACAAGAAGCAACACTCATGCGCAGTATGTACGCGTTCGAATTCGACTCCATGGAGAGCTCGTGATGCGCTCCAAGATCGACGAGAAACGTATATCGTGTATGCAGTGAGGTAGATTGTTCTACGTAAACTGATAAAACTAGAAAATCATGTTGATAACAGTAGTAGCTATAGTTTAGTGATAGACTAGAGAATCATGCAGTAGTTATTACTTAGTTAAAACAATGGTGCTTCTGAAGACAGCTACACCTATCTGTGGCTTCACTGCTTTATTCGCGGTAATTATGAGGTGTCCACATGTTGCTCAAACCACGCCTGAAAAAGTGCCTATAGGTGAGTTAGAATATTCAAAACACGTTTATTAAAGTGGAACTAAAAACACTTTATACTTGATACCTTTACCTGTGTAAATCACTGGTTACATATATTGATTACTTTACCTTTATAAAATCACTGGTTACATATATTGATAACTTTACCTTTATAAAATCCCTGTTTACATATATTGATAACTTTACCTTTATAAAATCACTGGTTACTTACATTGATAATTTTACCTTTGTAAACCACTGATTACTTATAGTAATGACTTGTCTTTACAAAACACTGATTACTTATAGTAATGACTTATCTTTACAAAACAATGATTACTTATAGTGATGACTTACTTTTACAAAACACTGATTACTTATAGTGATGACTTACCTTTACAAAACACTGATTACTTATAGTGATGATTTACCTTTACAAAACACTGATTACTTATAGTGATGACTTATCTTTACAAAACACTGATTACTTATAGTGATGACTTACCTTTACAAAACACTGATTACTTATAGTGATGACTTATCTTTACAAAACACTGATTACATGTAAACAGCTAACAACTTGATAAGTAGGAACAATGTAGGTAATATTAACACTTAAACTTAACAAGTACTTTACTTATAGTTGACAGTTGTCAGGAAGGAGAAATGTTGTACTTTCTTGTTGAGATTTATCATAGTAGTAACAGGGTTTTACGAGTATTTTTCCTTTTAAAAGGGGCCATTTTTACTCCGGAAACAAGTCATTTGGAGGCCGCTTTCACGTACACCTTACTTTCACATAACAAAGGCTACTCACAGACAAAGTTTAAAGTGTACCCAGCAGTGGCGAGGGTTAACAAAAACGACCTTTTTGAGATTTCAAGGAAATGTAAGTGGCTACGATTTGTGTGTGTGTAATTGTATGTTTTTTGTTTTTCTAAGACTACATTTACACACTGTCTTCTAAGTGTGAGAACGTGATGTATATCAATCAAGTTTAAAATCACATATGGGTATCAAGCCTGTATCAAACGCGTCTTTGCTGAAATACATACAACAGCATATGGATGGATATGACCTAGCAGTTAGCATACTCGTGTCTAATAGTATATGGATGGGCATAGTCTAATACTTAGAATAGTTGGGTCAAACTGCATATAGATGGATATGACCTAGTAGTTAGCAAACTTGGGTCCAACAGTACATGAATGGATAAACAAGAAATTTGTGTACCTGTTCGATGACGAGGAACCCACTTTGAGACTAATAATGGCTGGAGACGGCTTGAATGGGTAATGAAGAAAAACTTTAATATAACAGCAAATGTACAACGTTTCGACAAGGTTTTGTCATCATCATGC